CTGGGTGGGTAGAGCCCCAGAGAAGAAACGCCGCTCGCTGATTGGAGCGGCGGTAGTCGGACTGCCACTGCCGTCTCTCCGGAATGCGCATGCGTAGCTCGCTGGCGCACGGCACCGCCCTCTTTCATTCCCGGCGCAGAGCATGCTGGGTAGTGTTCCTTGGTTACCGTTGCTATGCAGGGCCTAGTCTCCCCCTCCCCCCCATGAGCGGCGAGATGGTGAAGCAAACGATCCAGATCTATGCCCGGGTGAAGCCCCTGGCCAGGCGGCAGCAAGCGGGGGTAGGTGGCCGCGGGGCAGGTAGCCGGGCTGCAGCCGGCCTGGGGAGCCCATGGTGTCGAGGGGCAGCCCGGGGGTGGAGCGGGGTGCCTGGGGCAGGGGGCAGCCCGAGGTGAGTGGGGGCGGGCACCAGGGGGCAGCCCGGGACGCCCCGCTTCGGGAGGGGGTTGATATGAGCTGTTTGAGGTTCCCCTTCACTATCCCTAGTTTATGAGGCTGGTTAACTTGCCAGCCTTGAGCTCCCCCCGGCTCTGAGCGGCGATGTACTTAATGCTGAAGAGGAGGACGTGCTGCAGCGCCGGGATGATTTTAAATGGCCCGGAGCAGAGTAGACATTGACTGTTAAAGGGAGCCTTAAAAAACTAAATTGTGCTCTAGTAAAGCGTGTGACCTTTGGGCGAAAGGAGCTGATTTTCTACACCGGGGTCAGCAGCCTTTCAGAAGTGGTGTGCCGAGTTTATTCACTCTGATTTAAGGTTTCGCGTGCCAGTAATACATTTTAACATTTTTAGAAGGTCTCTTTCTATAAGTCTATAATATATAACTAAACTATTGTTGTATGTAAAGTAAATAAGATTTTTAAATGGTTTAAGAAACTTCATTTAAAATTAAATTAAAATGCAGAACCCCCCGAACCGGTGGCCAGGACCCGGGCAGTGTGAGCGCCACTGAAAATCAGCTCAAGTGCCGCCTTCAGCACGTGTGTCATAGGTTGCCTACCCCTGTTCTACATACTTACAGGAAGCTTGTTTAATGATACCATCATTGTGGATGTTGGAAGTGAATGCTTGAGTTGAAATATTTCATCTTCATTGAAATGAAAAATAAAAAGTTTAATGAAAACATTTTCATAAATGGTATGTAGGTTTTGCCATAAATCTCTTTAAAAAAACAAACCCCCTCCCCCCCAAAAAACCCAAGCTCTTTAAATTGTGGTCCAAAAACTACCCGATGATTGCCTTATTAATCTCACAGAATAAACACTTCTTCAGGTTTTTTTTTTTTTAAATAAACCTTTGGTCAGATATTTGAACGTGGTTTTATTAAGCTAATTTTATCAAGGGACTTGGTGTCTAATTGCATTTAGATATTTTGAAATCTTATTCTGGGGTGGGTGGGTGAAAGAGAGACAGTTCTCTACTGTGTAATGCAGAATCCCCTGTAGCTCAAATGGCAAAGGCTATATTTTTGAAGGAGGGCAAACGGGGCTTTCTCCTTTCAGTCACCTTGGAATTCTGATGATAGATTCCTGTGTATGATCTTAATGAGATGATGAAGTTAAACACATCAAGATGATAGGGCCATGGTACAAACCACTGTTCTATGGCTGAAGTCATTTTGTTTTGCAGATTTATTCAGTTGGTGAAGATGAAAAGTCAGCCTCCAGTTTAGAGATTATTGTTCCACGTGACTTGGCAGATGGATTTGTCAATAATAAACGAGAAAGCTACAAGTTTAAGTAAGTTTATTTTGCTCTGATTTTTTCCTCATGCAGTTTATACTATGATCACTTTCAACATTACCAGATCTGTGTTATACCCAAGCTTATTATTTTTCTTCCTGTTAAAGACAGTCCATTTTCTATATTCAGTGTCACCGTTGCCTACAGAGAAGATTATTGGGTAAGGATCAGCCACTAAATTCAGTGTGCCAGTCCTGTGGAGAGTCAGTAAAAGGTTCTTATTAATCTCTGATCCATACAATATAGTTTTTGGTATATTTAGTAAGATTTTTAAAAAGACTTTTTAACAAGAGGAATCTTTCAGTGCTACAGTACATTATACTCTATCATGATTTCAGGGCAAGACATGATAAAACTAGAAAAGTTTAATAGCTGAACTTGTATGCTTCATCAAACTATTACATGACATTGTGGTAAAAATGTCTGAGTCCTGTTTACAGGCCTGCACCCGTGCAGCTAGCTATAAAGTTTTAGTGTAGACAAGGCCAGAGTACAGGAGGGACCTTATGCGCTTGCAGAAACTAATGAGCCAGCACAGGGTGGATAATGACTTTAGCCAAAGATTTGTTGACAAAAAGCACTTTCTAACAGGAATTTGTTGATTTCAGGCCTAACCAAAACATACTGAAGACAATTATAGTTTGTCAAATGAAAAGGGAAACTATCAGCTTAGAAAAATATTTATACATTTCTATGAAAATATTACAAACGAGAAGTAAAAACAATTATTTGATAGCATCCTTTGTATGGAAAATTTGGATGCAACATTTTGTATGGAATTTCATATTAATTGAAATTTGATGCTGAAGAAAATCTAAAATCTACTGTAGAGTAGGACTCCAAACATCTGTAACTCATGCTGATGTCACTGGACAGGCTGTATGCAACACCAGTTTAGGTTGTAGATGCCCATGCCAGCTTAATGGATGCTGACATTCTCTGTGTCTTTATTGTTCCTATCGGGAGTCTGTGCAAATGAATTCTGAGAAATACTGAGCATTGTGATCCTTAAGGAAATGCTCTTTGTTTTCAATTTTTTATCATAAAGCCATACATACAAAAGGAATGCTACATGCCAAACCCTTTTTCTTTCCTCCCTAAAACTCACTATTTTTTGGTGAAGTCTTCCTACACTGGTCATCTCACCAACTAAGGGCCTGATCCTGCAATTCTATACTCCTGTGCGCAGTGTCATTAAGATCAACAAATTCAGTACAACTACTCATCTGAATAAAGGTTTACAAGATAGGGACCTATGTCTCCATACCTCATGCACTGAATATTTCCCCATGTATTGCATTTGCCTGAGTAACTGTACACTGTAAACCCTTTGAGACCATGTTTTTTACATGTTCTGTGAAGTAAGAACTATGTAAACTTATAGTGCCAAACAGAACAACTGCAGATGTTGGCTTATAGTAAGTGGTAGAAGCTTAGATTTTTTTTTATTTGATGTTCATCTATTGATTACAATGTTTCCTAGCTGCTACGTTTCATTGTAGTCTAAAAATTGGAAGCCTGGCTGTACCGTTTATATGTGCTGCTTGGTTATAGGATAATTAATTTATCCAGTTTTCAGTGTGATGCCAGTTGCAAACACTGATCCCTTGATAGCTGTAAAATACAGGTTTTTTCCCCTAAACTACCTCATTTTATCAGAGGGTTTTATTGTACAGATCTTGTCAAAGCAGTACTGTTTTTTGTATACTAATCTATTTGTATACAATAGCACAACAGGACACTGTGGTTAAGACTACAGGGAAAACATTGTACTAGGTTATGTAAGCCCAATGATGTAAACATGGACTAGTTACAAACAGAAAAACAAAAATTATGAATCAAGTAGTGTTTGAAGATACTGCATGATTATTTGTTTATTATTTTCAGATTTCAGAAAATTTTTGATCAGGAGGCAAAACAAGATGCAGTTTTTGAAAGCATTGCCAAACCAGTTGCGGAATGGTAGGTTTTAATCTTGTACATAATCAGCAGTTACATGGGGTCACTGGTAACTTTCATTATACCATTTGAAAGCAATCTGATAATCATTTGCCCTGGTGATTTAAAAATGGATTGTGCTTTTATTCTCTAAATGCTGATCCATCTGAATTTGATAGGCATGCAAGAATTCCATGGATGTTCTGCTTATAGAAAGGCTCCATCGTCAGCCCCTAACTTAGCATTGCTATGATTTCCTGTTTTGTTGATGTTATATGGGAAACCAGAGGAGTTCATATTAGGTTAGTTCTTCTTATTCCACTGATTTATCTCCATTGGTCCTTCAGAAAAGTTAATTTCATAGCCCTCACACTATGCAACTCTAAAGAAAAGGGTTATGCATGAGGAAATTTAATCTCCCTGTTTAGTTTTTATTAACTTTAATATGATTTAAGGAGAATTATGAATGGGCCTCCAGTTTTGTCCTTACTACTTTTTGCTTAATGTACATACTCATGATGGTGTTGGTGACACTATATCTTGACTCCTTATTATAATAACTAAAGAATGTTAATGTTGTAGAATGAAGTTCTCAAGTCTGATTCCTTCATTTATAACTAAAATTAAGACTTTGTTTTTAAATTTTACTGGTTTGTATTGATATCTTCAACAAAAGACTTTGATAGGATAGATGAACCTGTGCTGTGCCTGGCAAGTAGAGAGTTAAAACCCTGTCTTGAGCATGCCAGAGCTTGGATTATCAGCATTCTTAGGAAACTCAAGTTACCAAAGCTAATTGGCATCAATGCATCTATTTTTTTTTGGTTTTGGTTTTGTTTTTTTTAAGAGAGTGGGGTTACACAGGGAGTTTGCTGGAAGGTGTGAGGACCAGCTGGGTGTGTTCCATAGCTCACCTATACAGTGCTTCTGAGCTGTGGGAATCTACACCCTTTTTCTTTTTTTATTTGAACCTGTGCTGATGTGAGTCCCTGCAATTAGATTTTATGGCTGTGAGGGTGTAAAATCCTTGAGAAATGGATTTGGTTTAAATAGGAGAGTCTGTTGAATGGCTCTTTTTAAAGCAGATTTTTAAATCTTTATAAAAATCTACCTCTTGCTTGACTCACTAAATAAATACTACATGATAATCTGGTCAAGAAATTGAAATAATGGGCCACTTTACCCTAAATTTTCTTTATGAACCATATTAAAATATACTGAAAGTAATATATTGTGAAACACGTACACCGATCACTGAGGTCTGTTGACTCCCATATGCTGAAGGAGCTATGTTCTTAATAGAACAATCCAAAACCTTCCAAGTCTGTTTGAAATAGGTTTGTAAATTTCATTTCCCTCCCTCCGCTCCCCCTTTCCCCCAAAGAAACAGTTTTGGCTTTGAAATTAACCCCATTTTTCCTAAGTTCAAATTTCATGTGCACATTTGCAGCTGCATGAGTTCCCAGCAGTTTGCTGTGTCATAAGTGGAAATGGGGCTGTCTGCCATATTGGAAAATGGGAGGGCTATGGTGGAGTGGGAAAGTGTTGGAGAAAGTCAGGATAGAGTTCCTTTCCCTTCACTGTTGTCTCTCTTAGGATTTGTGTGCCCATCTTTATACGATATTTCTCAGTTTAGCTGAACAGACCCTTCTGATCACATTGGGACTCATTTAACTAATTTGTTATTTATATCTCATAATTTAAAAAAAGACTTGAAATCATCTAGCTGTGCATATACCTGAGCTAATGTAAATGCATGTTTCCCTTCCTTCCCTCCCTACTCCTTACACCCATTGTTACGTTCTGTCTGAAATTAGATTGTAAACTCTTTTTGGAGTATTCTGTTTTAATATAATATCCAGGGCTTTGGAGCAGAGCCTGGAGCGTGGAGCAGCTCCGGAGCAGTGGAGCTGCAGGTTTTTGCCTGGAGCTGGAGCGGAGCCGGAGTACAGCTCCAAAGCCCTGAAATATCTAGCAATGGGTCACTGTCCTGACTGGGGCCTCTAGTCATCTACTAAAGTAATAATTCTAATGATAATAAGTCATTAAAAAAACCCCACACAAGAGTAGTACCAAGAAGACTGCCACTGGGAGACTTGCCCTATGTGCCCTGTACCAATAAAACAAGTTTGAACCTGAAATGCAGCACAAACAGCAACCTTATAATTTGCATGTATCTTAAAAAGAACAATCTAACTCTGTAACAAATTACCGCCAGTTCATGATTGCAGATTAATCTCATGTCAGGGCTGATTTCAAGCATTTTCTATTTGGAGTCTAACATTTAAGAGATTTACTATATAGATCCTCTTTCAGGAAAATAGGTTAATAAATACAGTAGCAAACCTGTATCATTTGATGTTTTTAATTAAGATGGTAAGTATTTTTCTTCTTGTGAAGAGTTCTGTTTATTGTGGATGATGGAGTTTGCTTTGTCTTATGCTAGATGAGCCAATTGGTTTGTTCCAAAACAGAGCAAATAGTAGGACTATTTCTGCCTTAACAAAATATAAAATGAAATAGGGCACATATCAAATGTTTCCTTTTGAGGACACTCTTTCTTGAGAACCTGTAATCTTTCTTTTGATGGTTTAAAGGCTTGGGAGTGAGGGTGGGGGCTGTTCATAAAGGGCCTGATCCAAAGCCCATTGAAATTAATAGGAATCTTTCTGCTGACTTCAGTGAGCTATGGATGGAGCCAAGAGAGAGCAGACTTTCTAATAACAATCAGATATGGCTCGGTTCTGTTTCATAAGAGAAATCACCTCCAGGTATTCCCCAGAATCTTGTCCATTATTGACTATATGTTATAATGTCTGAAGCAGCAAGAATATAGTGAAATGTGTAGATAAACAATTTTAGAGAGAGGTTTCACTAGTAATCTAAAATGTCTGGAAAAAATATTTGCTAAATCCTTTGTTATAATACAAAGCATTGGAAGTGTACCACAGGGAGCAGTTCTGCACTGGTGGGGGATAGACTAAATGACCTAATAGGACATTTCCATCCCTAATGTATATGATTACATGAATGCAGTGAGCATTCTCTAGTTTTATTTCTGTCTTTTTGATTTCAATGTAAGTGGTCAATTTTCTATCCCATTCCTTTAGTAACATAGTGAAACTACTTAGAGGATATATTTTATCTCCTAAAAACTTAGGGGTTTGGGCTTGTGTGTGTTACTGTCTAATCAAGAAAAGAATATAGCCTCCACCCGTTCGAGACATCACCAAACTAATGAAGAGGTATTAGTTATATTAAGGGCATGATCCGGCACCCATCTGAGTCAATGGGGTCCTGTCTTTGTACTCTTAGAGTCTGTGCCTGAGAGGTACCCTTAATTCCTGTTGGGTAATAGCATCAGGCCTATAGATTATAAATTCCTTGAAGCAGGGAGCCTGTTACTCTTTGGTGCAGAACTGAACATGGTGGTGGTGCCAAATAAGGAAATTATGAACTCTATTTCTGAATGATTAGAAGATAAAGGATACATGGCATATTCCCAAATTCTGTATATTCTTATTTCTAAACTTTCAAAGCCCTGCATCAGTTTTAAAATTCTCCATTCCCATTAGAGACAGATGGAAGTCTCCTTCCTTTGAAACATCAGAGATGGCCACAGCTGGAGATGAGACAATGGCAGGATGAGCTGGTGCTCTGAGGTAACACTGAGCATTATCTCAGTCAGGTGCTTGACTAACTAGTTCTTGCTCACATGTCCAGGGTCTAACTGCTTGCTATATGTGGGGTCAGGAAGGAATTTCCCCACATATTGGCAGTGACTTTGGGGGTGGGGGCTTGCCTTCTTCTGCAGCATGGGGGGCAGGTCACTTGCCAGGATCATCTAGGTATATCTCACTTAATCAATTCCCTGCTGTTGCAGGGGCCTCAGGCATTAGTGCACCTCAGTCCCCTCTTATTCTCTGCCCGAGACACATCTTCTGAGGAAAAAATCATTATTGTATCTCCAAGTGTTTCTCATTTACATCGTTTTACTTTTCTTCATAATCTGAAATAAAATATCTTGTTTTCAGTACTTAATAACAATGTCTGAATATACAATTCCATGAATATATAACACTTCATGTATTTAAAAAACTATTTATGTGGTATAAATAGTGAGCTTGCTGCTTCACAGCTGAGTATGAAGATTTTAAAATATAGACAATGCATATGTAGAACAGGGTTACAGGAAATCAGTAGGCAAATGTGGTTGTTGTTTGTATCACCTAGAAACTGCAGGCACATTGGATATCCATTGTGCTGGATGCTGGACAAACCTTTTAAAAGACATCTCCTGTCCTGAGGAACTTATGATTTAAAAGGCTAAATTGAGCCTTTAGGCTCATCCTTTTGTAAGGGGCAGTTCACTGCTGCACTGGCCCAGGAGTTGCTCTGGAAAGGAATTATTACTCAGTGTCCCAATTCCCTCCCTTCTCCCAGGTTTGCTTCCGTGGAGCAGTAACTAATTGCATGCCTTCAGAAGGTGGTATCATTTCCACTGGCTGGCACAAAGCAATGGGTAGAAATGTAGTTCCACCTATTCCCCGTAACTCTACATCTCCATCCCACCCACCTGTTTTGAGACTTGCAGCCCCTGCCCTCTCCTCACGCCCACCCTAAAGCCACGATGCAAGGACCATTAATACATCTGTGCAGGAGGGTGGGAGGATCTTCCTTCCCTTCCTTATATTAGCCTGAGTCACAATCTGGACCTAAAATAAGACTAGACAAAATAAGTGGGTGTAACAAACCAAGGAAGAAATGGGAGAAAGAGTGAAGTCAACAGAGGCAGGAACATGTGGTTATGTACAATGGCTATGTGCACACTTTGCAGATTTGAATCTTAACATTAATGTCTCCGTTATATATAATTAGTGATCCTGGGTAGCCATTTAACTGGCAATCAGACATCATGGTTCATATGCATATCACCAGTTTCACAATTATTTTTAAAGAACTTTTCCTATTCCCTTTCTTGTATTCCTCCCTCCCTTATTGCCAGTTTAGTTCATTCTTATTTT